TAGCACTAAAATTACTAAAGTTTTTATGGGAAAATAATTGTTGCTTTTACTATTTTCCATATAATTTAATTCTATTTTTTATTTCATTTCAATTTGATTGATTGAATGATTTATAAGATATAAAATAAAATATAAAAAGTTAATGAATTAAAAAAAATAAAAAATTTCTCCCATGCGGGTAAGGGATCCTCGGTCCCCTGCGTGAGAGCCGGGAAACTCACCGCGCGAGGTTTAAATAATCGTTAAATTTTCTGATATTTTTCAATTTTCTGTGCAATTTATTTCAACTTTCTTTCCGTAAGAACCTTCTACACAGTATTAGAAAACTTAAAAAAAAAGATAAATGAAATTGGTAAAGTCGTTTTCAACTTATGGCGTGAAATAGGGAAATATTGATTTATTTTTATATACTAAATTGAGTGATAGCTGTTAATAAATAAATACTATGAGATTTTGTTTGAATAGCTTTTATATACAGGGGTGTCGATATTATGTTGTGTTTTGTTGCACATTTGATAACTGGTAAAAGTTTTTGTTTAAATTTTTTCTTTATAATTTCATCTATGCAGGGTGTTTCATGACGAGTGTACACTATCTATATTAAGTTTTAAATGTTGTTTTTCTGGAAATTACATTGATATCTAATTTCTAAATGTTCACCAATAATACGCCATTTCTTTAAACTACAAACCTTATTAAGTCAATAATTTCAAATAAAATACCCTGTATTTTATATATTTCTTTATTTATTAATATATGCGATTACTACATCAAGGATTTTAATGAAAAAAGAAATCAGTTGTCTTTCAAATAAAATTCAGGTCTCTATACCTAAAGCCTAAAGTTAATACTTTTGGAGATCATCATCAATCAACCAATCGCGTCCCGCTACATGTTTTATATCATCGGTCCATCTAGTTGGTGGTCGCCCTCGGCTTCTTTTATAGTTTCTGGGCCTCCATTCCATAATACGTCTTGTCCACCGTCCATCTTGTGTTCTGGCTAAGTGCCCTGCCCAGTTCCACTTAAGCACCGTGGTTCTTTCGATGACGACTTGAACTCCTGATCTTTGCCTGATTTGTTGGTTTGTTATGTGGTCTCGAAGGCTCACGTTCAGCATTGCATGTTCCATGGCTCGTTGTGTAACTCTGAGTTTATTCGCAGATTTTTCGTGAGTGTTAAAGTCTCTGCTCCATAAGTTTGTAAAGGTAAAACACAACACATTGGTTATAAACCTTTCGCTTGAGACACATGGGAATTGAACTTTTTAGAATATGACTTAATTTGCCAAATGCTGCCCATGTTAGGCCTATTCGCCTTTGTATTTCATGTGTTTGATTGTCTCTGCTTATTTTGATTTCGTGTCCCAGATATTTGTAAGTGTCTGTTTGTTGTATGGTATTATTGTCAATAGTTGTATTTCCACTCATTACGAGATTTGTTATAAGTTTAGTTTTCTCAAAGTTTATCTTTAATCGTGCTCTTTCAGACAGACTTTTAAGCGAATGCATCATAGAAACTGTATCGTGTAAGTTATCTGCGATTAATACAACATCATCTGCAAATCTTAGGTGATTTAATTTTTCTCCATCTATATTGATGCCCATATCTTGTCATTGAGTGCTCTTAAATATTGACTCTAGAGCTGCCGTGAACTTTTGGAGATAATTGCGGTTTAATATTAAAGATATTTATTGTTTTAATCTAGTAGGTCATGTATGAAAATGCCATAATTGTCATTGTTTGTGGTTATTGGCACTTTTGCAAAGTGATAGACATGGCTAGTTTAGAATTATACAATAAAGAATGCATACATTTACTTTTTGTATGGAGAATGTGCTTCATTTGCTAAAAGATATCAAGATCGACCAGAAACTACCCGTGATACTGTGAACAGATTACCTGAATATTTAACACATTGTGGTTGTTTTCAACACAGAGTTACAAACAAAGCCTATTGTTGATAACAGCGATTATACAATTAATGTTCTTGATTACTATGGTGCTTATTCAAAAGCGTCATTATGTTATTCAGTGGATTAAAAAAAACACAAAAATTGCATCCCTATTCTTACACCACACGTTAAAGTTTATAATATAACAGTTTGTAATAAAATACTATTGTTTGTAACGATGAAATAATGTCATCCCTATTCTTACACCACACTTTAAAGTTTATAATATAACAGTTTATAATAAAATAATATTGTTTGTAACAATAAAATAATGTAATAGTTAATGAATTTTTGAAGAATATTATATGGGTGGCGAATCAAAATTTACAATAAATGGAATATTTAACAGGCACAATTCACATTACTGGAGAGAAGTAAGTCAACATTTAACAAGAGTAACAGGTTTTCAGGAGCGATGGGAGTTTAAAGTGTTTTGTGCAATAAAAGACAACAGGTTGTACTTCTCCACTTTTATGATGTTAACTTTATGATGTTAACTCTTTTTTTTTGGGTGAAAGATATCTCAATATATTTAAAGTAAACTTACATAATCTTCATTGTTAATTCTATTCGAGCCATTTCTATCACTTTGTAAAAATACCAATAATCGCAAATAATGACAGTTATGACATCTTCATACACAACCTGCTAAAATAAAACTATAAAAATATCTTTTCCGCAAATCGCCAGGAAATTTTGACATTCCTGTCAAAATTTCTTGAAGAAAAAGTCAGGACTTCCTTACTGTAAGGAAATGTCATTTCCTTACTGTAAGGAAATGATATTTCCGTACAGTTTTTAGTGTTCTACATAAAGTTTGACAATTCAACCTCAATACGTTTCCATAGTAACCCAAGTAATTTTATTAGGAATTTCAAAGCACCATTTATTTGGGAATAAAATTATCGCGTTTTTTTTTTAAATCAATCAATATCTGTCGAATTTTTAAACGATTTGCGGAAAAATAGTATGTTTACCTCGTAGGAAAAGCCACATTCCTGGACTCTGTGTAGCTAAGTCGAGGCGCAAGCCGAGACTTAGCAATCTTCACAGTCGTCCAGGAATGTTAAGCTTTTCCTACCCGGTAAACAATGTACTATACCTTTAACATTAAACCGCAATTATTTCCAAAGTATTAAATTTAGGTATAGGGAACCCTAATAATATTTGAAAGATAATTGATTTCTTCTTTCACTAAAATTATAAAATACAGGGTGTTTCATTTAAAATTATTGACTTACTGTAGTGTAAAGTTTAAAGAAAGGGTGTATCATTTTTGAATACCCTTCGAATTCGATTTCGATGTAAATTCCTGAAAGTGTGTTACTTACCTAATATCTTTGTTTGCAAAGTTTTTTAAAACATTATGATTAAAAATGGATGAGATGCTAACTTTGAAAAGTTTGTCTCTAACTTAAAATTTTTGAGAGAAAAAATAAATAATTAAAAAAATTTGAAGTTTTGACCTATACTACCTCATACACATTTGTTAAAAATGAAATGATATACAGAATGTTCCATTTTAACTCAGAAAGTTGCTATTGATTTCCGGTATAAATGAAGTAGCATGTCCATCAAAATATTTTGTAGCTTGTAGTCCTCATAAACCAATTTTCATAAATATTGTTTAAGTAGTTTCCAATATACAGATAATGTAACCTCGTGGTGAAACACCCTATATGGCTTACCGCAACTGTGGAACGCTTCTATTCTTCATGTCTGTTTGAATTTAACCTCCATCATTTACTAATAAAATGGCCGATTATTGGAGGAAACAATATGCTGTGTATAAATGACTGTCTACTAGTTTCAAATATCAAACAATTTCTTTCAATATTTTAAAAACAGTATTCAGTCTCACATGCTGTAGCGAATATGTACTCCTTTGTGATCCAGCCATAGGATATACCTACTTCAGGGATTTAGTGTATCTGCCTATTTGAGTAAATGGTCTTTTCCCTAACCCATAACTCGAGGAAACCACATCGAAATCCCAGTATTATCCTATCCAAACCTCAAACTCCTTTACTGCATACCCACCATCTTCCAACCCGCATGGGCCAGCGAGGTTGATTATTGGCCAATTTCCCCAAAGTTTTACGTTTACAGACTACACATGCTGCAGCAAAAATAGCACATATGAAGTGGAACTGAGCTTGACTCGGGCATATAGAGGTACAGTTGATTTCTGATACATAAGGGGGTTACAACAAATAAGATTTACATGGCTCAAGATCTAGCACTTGAGGAATGCTCAGAATGAGGAGTGTTCAGACTGTGTGAATATGATTCATTCTCAGAACTTAATTTAAATATTTTCTTTTACTATATTTTAAAAATACTTGTGGCCGCATATATTCGTTTTTAGTCTTAAAGTAACATTTTCTATAAATCTATAAAAATAATAAATAGTCTGTGACTGAAAATTCGAGTCCTTCTTGTCTTTGAATCAGGAATGTAACTATTAAAAGATATCCTTTTTACTAATTTATTACACCTGCAGGCACCGGCATTTGCAATACATAAAATAAACTATGTTATAGAAATGTCCAACTACATATATTACAATAATTTACATGTAAAATTTACCTTGTGTAAGTGTATTTCTTCATGGACTTCACATACAAATTCTACATATTTCTCCAAAAATCTTTTTGGCTTGTATCCAATCCCTTGCTTTTGTTTTAAATGCAGTCAACATTTAGAGCTAATTTGAGTATATTTTTTGTAGAAATGTGGTGTTTAACTTAAAATAAATAAACCAGATTAATGAATTTCAGTGTTGCGAATTTCTCAAGAAAATGGGTACCAAGTATGTTTTCAAAATATTTATAAATATATGTTTTTTAAATATTAGTTACCTTTTTTACATAATTGTTGCCAGCAGTCGTTTTTGACAAAACGTAAATCATTGGCAAGCAAAATTTCTCATTTAATGATTGTGTAGAATTGTAGGTTTAATTTACTAGTGATTACTTTCAATTTTTTTATTTTATTATTCGTATGTGATCTTTTCATATCCATGTAAAAATGTTAATATTTTAGACTAAAACAGAAATAGGAGTACATGAAGATGAAGCCTTTGAAAAAACTCTCATGGAACTGGATGATGACTTACTTGCAGATAACTTGGATATTTTGGATAAAACAGCAGATAATGCATTAAAGATAGAAACTGAACATAAGGAAGAGGTAAAGACCAAATCTAAAAAAGATGCCAATAAAAAAGATACCCCAGATAAAGATAGTAAGAGGGAAGAAAAACATGAAGACAAAATTAGAAAGAAAAAAATGAAAACTGAAAGTGATGTACACACTGATGAAGATTTTAGTAAAACATTGAAAGATCTGGACACTGAAAGTTCAAATAGCAATAAATCTTGTACAAAACCTAAAATTGTTGTTGATGATGTTGAACCCAAACAAAGCAGTTCTAAGGAAAATTCTCCAAATAAGTCGCATGATGAAAAAAGAGCTAAAAGACAAAGATCTCCATCTGAAGGTATTTATTATTATTATTATTCTTACTTTAAGAACACGTCATTTAGGATTAAACTTTTTTCAATCAACTTTTACTTACTACTGTTTTAATGTTCATCGTATTTTTTATCTATTTTATCTCTATATAATGTAGATTATTATCTAAATAGATTGTAACAGTTTCTATCTCATTTTCTTTTCTTCCATCTGTATAGACATAATTGTTTCTTTGCTCGTTTTCATTGATATTATCATTTCATGGTCACATTAAATAAGTCGGACCTAGATATCACATCCTCCATTTCGTCGCACATTTCTCTCATCCATTTTTCTTTGGCTAATTTTCGCTTTTAATTCTTTTCTTTAGATGTTTCTATGCTGTTCCAGCACGTCGGATATATTGTGAACAATAAGGTGTTATATCGAAGTTACATTGGAGTCAATGGAGACACCTCGCATGACTCTGTTTAGGCAATATGGGCTCCTTTGGCTTCATTTCTGTTTTATACCGTTGCACTAATGGCTACATATCGTAATCAGATGAAATATGGACTTTCTCAATACACCTTGTATATTAATTTCTGGAAAGGACAAATTCAAATCCTTGGGCTTTACAATCACAAAAAAGGCAACAACAGAGGAAGAAATTACGCAAAGATTAGGACAAACAAGAACGGCAATCCGACAACTTAACTCAGTATGGTGGAATAGACACCTAAATATGAAGACAAAAACACAGATTTATAAAACATTAGTTCGAAGTATTATGGTATATGGGGCTGAAAATTGGATTATAAACAAGAAAAACAGCAGTAAGATAGTAGCAACAGAGATGGAATGCCTGCGAGGATGCTGCAGAGTAACAAGAATGGATAGGAGAAGTAATGACGAAATAAAACAAAAAACATCAATAGAAACAGACATACTAACATATATAGAACAAAAAAGACTAAAGTGGTATGGACATGTAAGAAGAACTAGCGACAGCAGATGGATAAAGAGAATAACCGAATGGAGCCCCATAGGAAGGGGGAAAAGAGGACGACCCCGAAGATCCTGGAGGAACGAAGTAGACGACGCAATGATTAAGAGAGGCCTAAACGATGGAGAATGGGACAACAGAGAGAAATGGAAACGACTGAGCCAGGGAAGGCAGTGAATTCAGTGGCAATTCTTTCAAAATGAAAGAACTCACAACAACCAGATGCAAGAAAGGAGATTGGATGACAGAAGAAATCTTGGAAATGATGGAGGATAGAAGAAGACAAAATCATATTAACATAACTCAGTATCAACAACTGAGTAATCAAATAAGAAAGGAAATAAGAGAAGCTAAAGAGACTTATTTCGCTGGAAAATGTCAAGAAATAGAAGACTTATAGAATACAGAAATAGAAAACAGGTATGATAACTTCAATCTCCATAAGAAAGTTAAAGAATTAGCTGGGGTAGCAAACCAAAAAACCTCAAGCATACTATTGGACAAACAAGGAAACATTTTAGTGGAGACGAAACAAAAATTAGGAAGATGGAAAGAATATATAGACGAATTATTCCATGACCAGAGACTGGAAAATATATATGAAGATAATAAGAATAAAGACATGGACCCGAAATAACAAAGTCAGAACTTATGCATGCAGTAAAGTCCATGAAAAATAATAAAGCTGCTGGTTCAGATGAAATACCAAGTGAATTGCTAAAACTGGCAAATGAAAAAACATAGATCTTTTAGTCCAACTATTGAACACAATCTATTCCACAGGAATCATTCCATGTGAAATGCTGACATCAAAGTAAATGCCAAAGAATGTAGTGATTATAGAACGATCAGTCTAATGTCACATACTTTAAAAACCCTGCTAAAAACCATCCATAATAGAATACACGCTAAGCTGTAGATTGGATTGGCTGCAGTTTGGATTTCGGAATGGAGTGGACACAAGAGAACTATTTTCTTTGAACGTGCTGACCCAAAGATGTTTGGATGTTAATCGAGATCTTTATGTATGCTTTGTAGACGACAACAAGGCATTCGATAAAGTAAAATATGACCGACTTATAGAAGTACTTAAAAACAAGATCTGGATGTGAGGGATGTAACATTGATATCAAAATTATACTATAGCCAACGATCAAATGTGAAAATTTGAAATTTGAAAATTTGAAAAAAACCAGGCAAGGTTGCATACTGTCGCCGTTATTGTTTAATGCTTATTCTGAAGAAATCGTATAAGAAGCTTTGGTAAACGAGACAGTCGGCATAAAAGTGAACGTAAGTTTAATTAACAACATTTGATATGCCGACGATACAGTCATAATAGCCGACAACTTGGAAAACTTAGAAAGAGTAATGAACAAAATATTAAGATATAGTGGAGAATACAGACTCTCTCTTAACATCAAAAAACCAAATTCATGAAAATTAGCAAGAACAACAATACAAACGAAATATTAACGGTAGGCGGCCAGCAGATTGAGAGATTAAAAAGATATAGTTACTTAGGAACGATAATCAAAGAAAATAACCATTAGAGTTGCATATAACCATACTGCAGAAATTAGAGTTAGAATTGAAAAAGCATGTGCCAACTTCATGAAAATGAAAAAGATGTTATGCAGCAAAGATCTGACATTGGCCCTCAGAATAAGGCTAATTAAATGCTATATACACAGTTTACTCTACTATGGAGCTGAATCATGGACATTAAACAGAAATACAATAAATCGACTTAACGCGTTTGACATGTTGACATTTAGAAAATTGTTAAGGATTCCATGGGTAGATACAGTCACGAATACAGAAGTGTTAAGGAGAAATAGGCAGAGAGAGGGAAATGGAAAATACAATAAAAGAAAGGAAATTGCAATATCTCGGACATTTGATGAGAGGCAAAAGATACAACATGTTGAGACTCATAATTCAAGGAGAAATAGAGGGTAGGAGAAGCGTAGGAAGAAGACGCGCTTCCTCGTTGAAGAACCTGAGAGAGTGGTTTGGTGTCAGCTTCAGGCAATTGTTTAGAGCAGCTGCCTCGAAGGTCAGAATAGCCATGATGATTGCCAACCTTCGTCGCGGAGATGGCACTTAAAGAAGAAGTAGGAGTCAAACTTGTGAAGAAGTAATTAAAGCTCATAAAACGTTCTGACAGTTTTGAAAAGCCAATATACTCAGAATCACATAAATTACAAAATATCATTAGCATCTACAAAGAAAAACATTTAAAAAAGTAGAAGATAATCATGGTCATTGGTTCTAGTCAGTTTCTATTCGGATTAGGTTCCTATTCGGATCTTATTCGGTTTTTGTCGGTTCTCCGCGATCTTTGAAAAATCATGGCACGCACGCTAATACTGTGAATGATCCTCGTATCACTACAATACTGGTAATTCATCCTTGGGCAGGTAGTATATCCACGACGTACATGTTGTGGCACCGGTTACTAAGTCTATCTGTCCTTGCTGGAAGAAGCGGAAACGGGTAGCTCTATTAGACACCAGACTCAGTAAAACTCAAGTTTAATCCAAATAAAAATATGTTTAAATAAATAACAAAATAAAATTAACTTCTATTTAATATGCACAATTAAATAAAAATACGAATCCTAGTGAATAAAATCGACGGCTCTACGGTCCGCGAAAAATAAAAATTGATGCCCGCGAAAAATAAAAATTGGCAATGCTAGGATGGTTGAAGGCAAAGGAAGATCTATTGTCAATACCCAGACACCGCTGAAGAGTAATCAGAACTTCTCCTCATCTCTCTGGATACTGTCTTTTTGTCGTGTTCTTATGTATATAAATTTCCCTAGTAGTAATCGGAGGTTATTTGCGCATTCTGCTTGACTGTAAACTTTTACATCTTGTATTATTGTTTTGCTGACACTTTTACTATTATTAGATCAATAAGAAGTGATTTTTGGTTTTTACTAGGTTCCTCCTATATGCATCTATGTATGTTTTTATGCTAAAATCTTGTGTTGTTATGGCCAAATTGCATTCTCGACATATTTCAATTAGCCGATTTCCTTTGTCGTTTCTAATTTCGTCTTCTCCGAACCGTCCCACCATATCTTCATATTCTTTTCCTATGTGGCTGTTAAAATTTCCAATTAGTAGAATTTCTCTTTTTTCCTTTGCCTTATTAATACATCTTTTAGCGCATTGAAAAATATTTCCTTTTCCCTTGTTCCCAAGAATATTTATTTTTGGTGATATATATGTAACATTTTCACACAGACTACTTCTCAGTACCAGTTCCATACGGAATCTTAGGCTTTCACAAGGGTTTGCTCACCTAATAGAATTACTAACCATGACCAATTATGTAGACCAATAGTAGGGAAATTACTTATTAAAGGATTACTTAAAATGCATATTCTATGAGCTATTCTAATTGTTCATAGTTTCTTTCTATCATTTCAAAACACATTTATATTATTGATTGAAGTTTTTTTATTGATAATTATAGAAAGGGCATGGCCTATTTTATGACATCTTTTTTTGTTGAAATAATAATGTTGCTTTTTGATAATCATATATCATTAGAGAAATAGTTAAATGTCGATTACGTCTGAGAATTGTAATCTTTATGTAGGGACCACTCCCAAAAAACCTAAACTGGAACATAGTGATCCAGATATGGATCCTGATCAAGAGGCATTTGAAAAGAGAAGGTATTCTGCCATGCTGTATCAAAAGTACAAAAACAGAGGAGGTCCTAAAATGCATGGACAAAAAGAACTGCCAAAGGTAAGTTATTTTTTAATTTAATACATTGCGTGTGGATGTCCGATCATGAGATTTATACTCTAAACCGAAACATATTTATTAATAAAAATGTGTAGAATAAATGGCATACATGCACTCCGTCCGCACCTTGGTGAAGGCACAATGTGGCTCGCATGTATGTGTTAAAATGTATGTTTTTGTTTCCGATTAACATATGTATTTTATATTCTATGAATTTATTCCTTATAAGTATAATTTCTTTACTAATAAGTAGGTTGTATGTTATAAATTAATGGTATTATGGATTCAAGTATAAAAGACTTAAAAGATCTTTTGTGTATACTCTTGTCACTCTTGCTTTACAATCCTATGTCGGTCATAGCCTTTTCAAGAATTTTGTCCTGTCGTCCTTATTCATCGCCAAGCGCGTACTTCCATGTTACTCATATCTTCTTCGATGTTATCAAGGAGGCGAGGTATTACTCAACTAAGACGTTCTATTATAATGTATTTGACAATATCTGGTTTCTGGTATATTCTACAATTCGACGTTGTATCGTCTTTCCCAAAAACCACTGTCATCCATCGCTCTTCTTCTTCTTAGTACCTTCCTATCGAAATATCCTAAACTTTTGTCACTGCTTTTGTTAGAGTCCAAACCTATTTTGAACCGTATGCTATGTCTTGGCGTATTATTGTGTTGTGAATTCTTGGTATTTATTTATATATTTGGTGATTTGAAAAGGGAATTAATCCGGAAATAGCATATAAACAACATATAAAAAATAGCAAATACACGACGTTGTGTGCTTATCTTCATGTATTTCGTTTTTTTATATATTTTGTTTGTGTATAAGAGCCATTTGGTTGGTTGTTTCTTTTAGCGCTATAGATGCCTCTCGAACATAATTGTCCGTTCTTCCATCGATAGTCATTGTGATGTCTGACGTGCATAAATACCTTACAATAGACTGCTCTCTTTCACCCATGACTTACATCATATAGACGGCTAGTCTTTCATCTGGGACTTACATCACATCCCAAAAATAAATATATCGCAAGATAGAAAACTACAGACTACTCACATGTGTGTCTTACATCGATCTCGAAAAACAAACACAACTATATTAAATTTTCTGGTACCAAAATATACATCTACTGCAACATATGATCACACACGTATTTAAAATTACGAGACATAAAAATCATTATGGCAAAACCATTTTTAAAGTCAACAAAATAATAAAAGGTACGACGAAATAGAAATCATTAATGTCAATACTATACAGGAGAAAAGTAGAGAACAACAAATTTAGGACAATTTATAAAAACATTTAAGATAAAAGAGAAATCATAAACAAGTAAAATTAATAAAGAAATATAGAATAAAAAAGACGAACTATGGAAGATAAAATTAGATAACACTGAAATGTGCCTCAGTCTGGGGTCAAAATAATAGTATTACATTGTAACATGATACCAAGTTAGGGTTTCAAATTTTGTATGGCGTATGGGTAAAAAGAAGATCAAGCCTCACTAATGGGCGACAAATTAGTGTTACATATTAACAGCTACCACGGTTGGGAGCCATTTTGGTGTACCATACCTAGTGAACTAGATTACTAAGAAGTCGCACCGGTACACAGTAAGGCTCGAAGTTACCGTATCTCAGTACTGGTATGGCCGGGGTCGTTCAGGGTTCGAGGTGAGAAACGCAAGAAACAATAGATATAAAACAATAAAAAAAAAACTAAAAAAAAAAATAAAAACTTTACTGTTTAGGTTATCCATTCTGGTTTAAACAAGTTTAAAATAATGAGACTATTAAAATTATTAATTAACATTAAATATGTAATAAAGAATCGTGAAATATGCAGTATTAACATATAATAAAATATTTAAGAAAATTAACGTCTATATTCAGTCTCTTGCGTTTTATATTAACTTTCTTAACATAACTTGGATCGGTTGATAAAAGAAAGGAAATGTACTCACAATAATTTAGAGCTGTAGAGCAGATCAACATTCGATGCAGTCAAGTCTTGAATACAAAGGGGCTTATTCAGATGAGGGGAATTGTGATTGCCAATCAGGGCAAAAGCTACGATAGACCGGGATTATACTTGGATTAACTCGAGACTCTAACGGGATCACCTGAGATAGACTTGGATTCCCAATTTGAGATACATTTAGATTTCCAATTTGAGATACATTTGGATTTCCTGAATCAGGGCGAGCCCGGCACTAACTGGGACTAACTTTGGAACTAATTTGAGATTACCTGGGACTACCGGAGAAATGGAGAAAATACAAAGTCAAATATTCAAAGAAGCAAAAGATAAAAATATAAAGGATACAAAAAAGGATAACAAATATTTTACCCTTAACAGGGGTCTCGAAAACACAAGTCGAACTACACTCCTCATCTTGCTCATCAGAAAATGAAAAAAAAAAAAATGACAAGATATGCCTTTTTGTAGAGAAATATTTAAATAGAAAAATGCCGTTACTTATTCTGGGTGATCAGAATATTTTCGGTAAATTTTCTAAGGGAGTAGTTTCTATATTTGCAAACAAAAACCACCGACAATTTTAGTCAAAACGGCGAGGTGGGTAGTTCTAACGAAAATTATATTAGGACCTAAGCGGTAAAAAAAGTTTCATCGAAGGTTTATCATATTTAACGGTTGTTTTGTACAAAAGATTCACAATACAATCATAAACCGAGGTAACACAGAATATTTAGTTAATTAAACGAAAATTGTACAAGATACAACATACCGGATTTTTGACACGTTACAAGATTTATTTTGTAAGTTGTAGGGCCATTATCTTGCCATTAATGGATCTCCACTTAGGCTTTTGCATTGGTTCGTCGTGGCGTTATTCTTTTCTGCTAATATTAACTTTCTTATAGAATGTTCTGAATTCTTTCTCTTTATATATTTAAATTCGTTATTTTAATGGTTTCTTTTCTTTTTTTATTTATTCTTTTTTTTTCTAGTCACTTTGTCTGGTAATTTTCAACTGTGGTTCTAGTTCTTCAGGCAGGTAAGCATTTTTCGGTATGCTTTATCTTTTTCTCTGGTTGTATTCTTGTATTTATCATCGAACCGTGTTGGTTTTTTCCGGGCCTACTTTTGTATTCTTATCTCATCTTCTGCTGCTCGCACAATAAGTTTTTTTTATTGTGGCCCAGTATTTGTGTATTTCTTTTTAGTCTTGTTTTATTTTCCGTGTACCGGATATAAAAATGAGGTAAAAGTCGCATTGTTCACTTTTGAAAGTACTTTTGTATTCTTATCTCATCTTCTGCTGCTCGCACAATAAGTTTTTTTTTGTTGTGGCCCAGTATTTGTCTATTTCTTTTTAGTCTTGTTTTCTTTTCCGTGTACCGGATATAAAAATGAGGTAAAAGTGGCATCGTTCACTTTTGAAATTGGACTTCCAGAAGATAACAAAGCATCGCAAAGTTCCTGGTTAAAAAGTTGCTGCTCGGTTTTTTGAGTCCCTAAGCACTACGCCATTTTTAATTGCTCTTTTGAATTGAGCCGTTTAAGAGTTTTTTCGCGCTTTTTAAGGAGATATGGTGACTTTGCATGCTGATCGTTTAAACATTTTCTACCAGAAGAAATCTAAAACAAAAAGCCTACACGTTTTTTTTTCGAAACATGCGTTGACAATGGCTTGCAGTTGTCTTAAAATGAAAATAGATCCTTATAATTTTAAAGCAAGCTCGACAAAATACTTTTCCTCCATTCAGCTTTATATTTTTCTGAAGGTTTAATTCAGGATAGGGCTGAATCGAAGCACTTAGTTTTGATATCGCGATATAAACACATGAACGAGGTCATGGGTTAAGTAATAAAATTACACCATAATGCACTTTTAAAATTTGCCTCAATATGCACGTTTATACTGTTTGACGGAAAAAATATGAATAAAACTAACATAAAATTCGGATATTTATACAGCTATTTATTCCAAAAAGCTTCACCGAGACTTACGCCCCTTTTGGATTTCGAAAAAACTCGTCCCGCTAAAAGTGTTTATATATGTTTTATTTTGTTTGTATATTAGGGTTTTTAATTGTTTACCAGTTTGCCTAAAACCTTTTATTATCGTATTGCAGTTATGTCCAAAATGATGTAAAGAAACAGGTTTTATTGCTTGGGGAATTTTAATAAAAATTTTGAGAATAGGTCGACACATTCAGAAAATATTGGCGTTACCTAAACATTTTTTTATACAAACATGCAGATATACGCAATATCTTGTAAAAATATGAAATCTATGTAAAATATGCCAGATATGCAAAAATGGATCTTGCATATATTTCAGTGTCTACTTATGGTTAACAATAACTCAAAAGTATTAACATTAATAGAACATTAATATCAGAAAATAAAAAGACTTTTACTTGGAACTACTCTGGTTTGACATTTAAAACATGACATCACTTGATGAATAAAAAACCATTGTGCTGATATCAGATTCCGACATAAAAGTCTTAAAAACCTTATGTACTCACTATGTGTTTACAAAATTTGTCTAAAATTACACACGTAATTTTAGTACCAACATGCCTCATAGAGACTCTAGAGCAATGCTGAACCTTACTTTGCAATATTATATTGTAATGATGTAGGTAGTAACTAATCCCATAAGGGAGAGACTTTGTTGAACACTTTTTAAGATCCTTGCGAAAGTACATGTGGAAGTCATGATCAACCAACAGAAACCATGACAATTGAGTTTGATTTTCCACACGCCGTTTGAAGTGGTTATAAAAATCACTAGATGTTTCTATTCGCTAGTCTTTTCAGTTTACACTACTTATCATCTCAATGAGATGGGTAATTACATATTGGTCTAATTTTTAAAAACTTAAGTGATAAAAAAGAGTTTTGTGGCTGGATATCGAAGAATATAATATAAATAAACGTAGTTTTAATTTTGCAATTTTAGTCCTCTAGTAATGTCCTGGTGTGGCGGATTTCAGTAGAGTTTTTACGAAATATGTCTTTTAATTAATTATATTGACATTTCAGGGAAACCCAGATTGTCTCAAAGGTATAACGTTTCTACGAACGGGTGTACTGGATTCTATAGACGGTGAGGAATTTCAAAATTTGGTTGTAGAACATGGAGGAAGAGTTGTACATGCTGTGTCTAGTAAGTACAATGTGTATGTTTACTCGACATCTATTTTTAAATATATTGCAAATCTTATAAATTTTAATTTGATATTAGCTCACTTTTACAACTTAGAGATACTGATTGTTTCAGTGAATATCAATGCATATTGAACAGATGATAAATCTCTTTGTCGTCTTTAGTCACTTTTTTAACGATTAATTCATATATTAGGTAATTTTTGCTATATATCCATTGAAAAATTAGGCCATTATACCCTGGGAAAAGATATTATTGTATTATTTGAACATATTTCTTTTTTTGCGGATCTCCAAATGCCGTTGGCATTTGGTTGCCACAACGTGCCAGTTGATAAACATTTACAGGTTAACGTAATTTCTTAATTTATAAATTTTTCTTGAAAAAAATTTCCGAATTGGAAATCGAAACCTCAAAACAAACGTAAAATGTAATTCTCATTACAAACAATTGTGGCTTAATCCCATATAAATACAATACTTAAACTTGGGGATGTAAGAAATTCACGGAAATGTAAAGGTACGTACAAAGACTTCACGATAGAATTAATTTCTAATAAAATAATTTAATCCTAAAAAATAAGATTGAAATGACGACGCCGAGAACTGTGGATTTGCTTAACAGTTCACGGTGTTAGATTTCTTTTTTCACACTGGGTCACCCTCTTCAATTGTTTGTTGGACTATAGGCGCAACTTGTTCTATTCTGTTCTGTGACTAGAAAGATAGATAGGGGTTTATGTTGTTAATTAATTTTTCGAACTAGATGGCTTTTTACAAATGGGAGTTTTGTTTTTGAAAGGTATATTCCTCTGGTATACTAAATTTTATATTTGTGCTCTACAATTTTGTAATAACATTCTTGTATTTTCGTTTCTAGTTGTATTGTTTTTCTAGCTTACATAATTCAGATAAATCACTGTTTATGAGCTTTATTGATTCGGTGTTTTTTTTTTTATTTTTAGATGGTTGGATATTTTATTCCCAAATATATATCTTATGGGATTTAATGATCATTTATTCTATAATTGGTTTTTCTTACGCATAACACTTTATTCACAGTCAGCTCCTAAATAGTTTTACTTCTTTTGTAGTTTCGTAAATTTTTAATTTTATAGTACATATTCCTTGATTTTATTAAATTTTTTTTAATGTTATAATGAATTCAATGTATATTATTTTTCAGAAAAGGTAAATTATCTGGTAGTTGGAGAGGAACCTGGCCCCGCAAAGTTAGACAAAGCTAGAGGTTATAAAATACCCGAAATAAATGAAGATCAATTTCTAGATTTGATTTTAAAAAAATCAGGCATGAAACCAAAGTACTATCACAAAGATTCATCGGATTCTGGAGTTTTTGACGAAGATGTTGATGATGAGAAGAAAAGTAAAAAACAAAAAGAACATGAAAAAAACAAAGCGTCAAGAAATGAAGAAAAACATGATAAGGAAAAACGAAGTGAGAGTTCACTAAAGGATAAAATCAAAAAGAGTCCTATGAAGGTAACATTACTATTTCTTTCAGAATTTAATTGTATTGCTAAAATGTAAAATGATTCTTATATCCCAAACGAGCTAGATTAAAAATGACTTTGTCATTTTATTACAAAATTTAATTTAAAACAAAAACATGTATTATAAGGGGTACTATTTTAGTAATAAATAAATAATTAAATTATAAACAGTGCGTTAACTACTGATTGTTAATTCTCAATATTAATGTCAATCTTATTTACAAATTAAACTTTAAGTAGGGTGAAGTGGGGTATCTGGACGGGATATAAAAAGTTTTATTTTGAAGTTACTTCTGAAGTTAACCCGTTGATTTAAAGTAACTGTGGACCCTGACAGAGAGACTGTGGTCTGCTTGGTAAACTTCACTTTGTACTTATTACAATGAAAGGTGTAACTGTGGTTTAAAATAAAAGCAACATTAAAAATGCACAAATGAAAATTATTATTAAAAATCATGAAACAACAAACAGCTAGGTAATAGTTTTGAATCTCCTTAAATCCTCACAAAACGTAACGACGTTTTGATCTTCTGAGGGTCGTTCAGTGTTTTTAATATCTTATCATAAGCGAACAAGAGAGGCTCGTTTTCCTCACGAAATTTGAAGTTATTTCCCACGCATCGTTTCAAACATTTGATTATCACGACTCTTTTCACTGCATTAATTTGACATATCCAATCGAATTTTTTTTCATCAAAAAAAAATTGGATGAAAAGTGCTCAAGACAGAGCACAATGGACAAAAATGAGGTGAAATGGAAAAAGGGCTGGGTGATGATGATGATCCAATCGAATGAGTAATTGCGTGTTTGTTTATTCGTACCACGATGTATTTTCCTGGTAATATATTATCGTCAGTGGGTTATTAAACTTGAGGTTCGGCACCTTCTTCCATGTTGTCATTTGGAGCTTCATATGAGTCATCATTCATTGCATAAACGACTTCTTCGGAATTTTCATCATCACTACTTAATTTTAATTGTTTCTTGAAAGTATTCTTCGAAGCTTTTGTCTTAGGTTTTTATAACTGTATGTGTTCTAAATAGGTTTTAGTTGTGGTCACCTCAGCAACATCTATTCTTTTCCTCTTTCTTTGTTATATATTCGGAGAAGGTTTCACTGTTGCTAGTAGAACGTTCTCCCAGGATGCAATGGAAGTCGATGCAATGCAATTCTGGCTTTCTGTAGTAGAGCTGCAAGAGGTTGTACACGGTATCGTAGTTTATTTACCCATAGAACTCTGCTCGTCAGTGATAGTGTCAAGAACATTTTTTTCTTTATAATATCGTCTTAACTTTTCGGAATCAAACTTTTCTTTGTTAATGGAATCTCGATTTAGAGGAAAAATACCGTTTTTCTAAAGCCATTAGCCTTAACGCAATTAATTCGGGTGAAATGTGCGATAAATGACCGTCGTAAATCAAAAGAGCATGCCTTTCAACGCAATTTTTCAAAAAAACCCGAAAAACATTTTTGAACCATAGAAAAAAATACTTGTTCAGTCATCCAACCATTTTCGAATGGGTACTAAGATGCCTTTGAATACTCATCTGTACCAAACATATTGTCCCATAACCTTTTGCCCTTGTGGAGGATCATAGGTGGCAATATGGATCCGTTGGCGTTAGCATATGCCAAACCTGTTGTTGTTTTCCGTCCTGAGCCTGCAGTTTGCCTTTGTGCTATTTATCCGATTCCAGTTACAACCTTAGTATGGCTGGGGTCACAATTAAAAGCCGTTTCATCTGCATTCCATATCATAGCAGGGTATTGTTGAAGGAAATTATTCATAATAGTTTTCAATTGCTCAAAGAAATCGTAAACAATAAATGGGTCACTTTATTGTCTTACACATGATGCTTCAATTATCTCTTAGGTTGCCTAATAGAAAGTCGGTTGCGTTTTAAAAAATTCAGAAACCAATCTTCTCCAGACTTTCCCTCTCTAAAGGGCGTTATCAGATTATTTTGATGAACATATAACTGTGCAGTGTTGAGTATTTCTTTGGGAGATAGTCCAAACCTCCACTTATAGTTTTTATCTGAGAAGCTAAAGTGTCTTCGTCTTCTTTAGAAAGGGCAGTTCTACCACCTCCAGTCACACCTGTAATGGAATTTCATTGTTTTAAAAAGTAAAATCTAGTAGGTGCCTTTCCACCCAGTCACTTTTAATCCGAGTGTCGATTTTGGTACTCCATGCTCCATTGCAGCCTTCCTTAGTGAAGATTTTCCCAATTCCACATCTCGTATAGCCAGTTCTAATGCTTCTGTTGAATACCTACTTCCGACACCACGATTGATAGTCTTTTTAATATATTTTCTTGACAGTTTTTCACCCAAAAAATAAGATATAAACAAACTAACCAAGCAGCTTTTGCAATCACAGTTCCCCCTGTATCGCCGTCCGCAGTTGCACCGATCACGTGTCATGTCAGGTTAACTGTGGTCCCCTTCCTAATTACCAACTATTCTTCTCATACTCCGTTTACTCAGCGCTAGATGGTGCCTCAAGTTTACTGTCAGAAGCATTTATTGAAAATTAGCACTACTTCTGTATTGAACCAAGTTTTTCAAATTTTAACTCACTACGCAATTAGGGTCCCTAATAACAAATGACGGAGGCTGTGACAGAGAAATACGTAGAAGGTTGACTATTGCTAGAACAGCTATGATGAAACTGGTAGCAATTTGGAAAAAATCTAGCATAACAATACACACAAAACTAAGGCTGGCAAGGGCACTCATTTTTCCCATAGCCATATATGCATCCGAAACGTGGACTTTAAAGAAAGCGGATAAAAATAAACTGGACGCTTTTGAAATGTGGGTATACCGCCGCATGTTGAGAATATCCTGGATTGATCATCGCACTAACGTATCGATATTAGAACAACTTAAAGTAAAGGATATATTGCTTAAACAAATACAACAGAGATATTTGCAGTATTTTGGACACATTGCTAGAAGAACAGGTACGATGGAAAAACTAATAGTCGAGGGTAGAGTTGAAGGAAAGAGACCTAGGGGAAGATCTCCAAGCCGTTGGGTAGATCAAACAAAAATATTGATTAACCAAGGGTTACACGAAGCCGAACAACTAGCTCAGGATAGAGAAGGATGGAGGGAAATCGTGAAAAAAAAACTGTAAATACCTGATGGTGAAAACACTGTATATAAACTTTTTTGGCCGTTTTTGAGATAAAAAATATTTTTTTTGGTTTTTTTTGCCCTGTATAAATGGTTCCTATTATCGGATATCAACTAAAAACAATCAGCTTCTTTGTCTCGCATTTTTGCAAAATTAAAATATAAATTTCGTATTTTACAAGATAATACTTCTGTCCAAACGAAAAGTTAATCCTAAATCCGGTCCTCTTAGAGGCCTACACCTTCTAATGTTTGAGTCTCCTGCATAGCTTATTGAATTTTGGTTTAGGGGTATAGTTTCTGGGGTATTTAACGATTTTTTAAAACTGGAATTCTTTGAGTATTAACAAATTATTTGAAATCATGTACCGGTTTAAAGGATTGCTGGGTGGGGGACACACATGCATCTATCATAGTATTTTTTTATCAATTTATTAGTAATTATAAAAGTAAGAGTTAAAAGTATATCTACATCCGTATAAATTGAAGTAAAATTGTTAGTTATATTTGAGTTATAAGTTATATTTTTCATGATGTTTATTATTATGTACATTATTATCTTTATAGGTTGTTTTTCATATATTAAACAATTTATATATGCTACTCTCATTACTATCATTATTTTATTTTGATTTTAGAATAAAGAAAAGCAGCCAAACGGTAACTCATCAAAAGCTGATACTAAGGAAGAAAAAATTGTTACTTCCAAATTTTGGGACACAAAAAAGACCAGCGCAGAAACTAAACAATCTACAGATCCCTTAAAGGCGTCAAGCTTCTATTCTAATAAAGAGAAAAAACCTGAAAATCAGCCAGCACCTGAGAATGTAGAGTCACCTATAACAGTTTCTGATTTATCGATGGCTTGGACTGAAAAGTATAAACCGACTGATGTCAAAAGCGTTATTGGTCAACAGGGTGATAGTAGTAATTTAAGCAAGCTGAAGAAGTGGTTATCAAATTGGTATAGAAATCAGTTACCTCAAGTTAGAAAGAAAATACCTAGACCTTCGCCTTGGGCCAAAAATGATGATGGAGCTTATTACAAGGCAGCTTTGCTGAGTGGTCCACCAGGTGTAGGTAAGAGTCTCCTAGATTTTTTATATAGTTTCAGTTTTAATTTATTATTTATTTAGTTCAATGACCTTCGACGCTTTGAGCTTAAAAGTTATAATCCTAAATAATAAAATACAAACTACCTAATTTTAAAAACAAAATATGTTTTATAAATTATTACAGTATTTTTCCACAAAAAGAATGTTTAAAAGTATTTTATTTTTAGTTTTTCTACAACGTTTCTATTGCTTGTGCTGATATATTCCTATTATATTTCAATACAAAAAATTCTATAATAATAAACAGTATTATCGTCTATAAAAAAATATATGTCCAGTTTCACAGTGGCGTTCATTTAATACGAATTTTTGATCATATATCTTACGTATATATGGTATAAGTTTATAGAAGCAACGATTCATCACAAATCACAAATACCAATTAAAAATTGGTAGGAAAATATTTTGGTATGAAAGATAAGACTGCGGTTAAAAGAGATTATAAAACTGAAAATGCAAATAAGATAATGATAATGATAGAGATAACTAGCAACAGAAAATAAAATAGTAATGGTGCAATCTGTAGGGAATATGTCAGAGGAAGGAAGGAGGCAGGCGGAGGCAAATTTAAACAATTTTCAAGAAAAACTACATATTATCACCTTGTTGATTTGGTCAGTGCTGTTGACTAATACCGAATAAGAATTATTTGAAGATTAAAGAGCAGAACACCATACAAAGATTGCCATAACAGGTCCATCAATAACGGAAAATAAATTTATATGGGTAATAACAAGGGAATTAAAGCACCGTGTGGATCTCTTGGCAAGCAACAGAATTTATGACACTCCGTTATTACGAGTTTTTTGGCTTTAAGTAGGCTTTTGTTAAAATATCAAAGAAATAACATGTCATGGGAGCGATTACTCAACATTAAGTGTGATGAATAACGTTCTCAAGATTTTCTTGAGGCTAATACATAGTAAAATATACAGAATATTAGAAGAAATTGCTCATTCGATTTCCTTCAATAAAAAATGGATCATCAAAATGATACTCATAATAATTGCAGTCGAAACGTTCAATTTTTTAGAATACAGCGTCCACACACAATTTCTATAAAAAAAATTTCTAAATGATGTTTTTAACCTTTTTTTGCGAATTTGCGCTTTTACGTACCGTAAAATGTATTTGTATATGTAAAATTTACATGTATTTTTTTTGTCTTAGATCTAATACTTTTTGAGAAATGCGGGATAAAGGTTAAAAAGGAGAGATCTACAACTTAGATTTTTCGTTCTAAAATTTTTTAGAACGCAAAATCTAAATCTATTTCCGTTCTGGCTCGCTTCAAACATTTTTTTTTTAAACTGGTCCTCACTGGATTCTGGTTCTTTTATTGTCTGATCCATTATCCTTATGTTTGTTGTGTCATCATCACCATCTACAACCCAAAGTAGATCTTGGCCTGTTCTAGGATCAGCTTCCATTTATTCCTACCCATCGGCTTGGTTTTCCAATTTTGTTCTCTGTAACACTCGTAACTCGTCTTCTACCTGGTTCTTAAATCATGCTCTGGACCTGCCTCTTCTCCTCACTCTATCCGGTCTTTGGTTATAAATGTTTTTCGACGGCTCCATCTCGTTCATTTTCTCTAAATGGCCCAACCACCAGTCTGTTTATTTTGATGAACCTATCAATATTAGGTTCACTATAAAGGCGGTAAGGCTCAAAATTACAGCGGCTATGCCATAATCCGTTTTTCTGCATGCCTTTATAAATATGTCTGAGGATGACATGCTTAAGAAGAGTTCTGTAAATCAATATTTTCGTTCTTTTTGTGACTATGTTTGATATTAAAAGTTTCTTATTTATCTGATATTTGTGAGCCTAAATACAGATTGAACCAAATTAAAACGGAACATACAATTTAATACATGTCTGTTTGAACTGCATTTGAAATAGTGGACCAATATAAAACTTGGACAAAAATAAATCCATACCTGGGTATAGACATTGTATAAAATATCGTTCAACTATCCGTCTCGCAACAAAGTTGTTTGCGTAAGACGGGTTTGTCTAAGGAGGCGATAATAGTTCAGGAAGTGAAGCTCGAAAAAAGTTAAAACCTCGCAATTTTTTCGTCCTGCATGTATCCAGTTGAAATTTTAGCAGAAGGTAGGTAATAGCCCGAGGATCAAAATATATATCGAACCGAAGTGCGCTGAAGAGTTTTATGGGTGAAAACTACCCCTAATTGTCAAAAATTATAAAATAACATATTAAACCTGAATATGGGTAAGATTTGGTTTGAATTAATTAAATAATGATTATTTTATACTTTTGAATAGAGTTCCATCATATTTCAACCCTTAAAAAGCAACCCTTGTTAGAGATTAATGTAAAAAATTACTAATTCTAAAAAAATGATTTCGCCTTGGATCGATTTGGATAAAAAATTGGATTTAAGCTCAATTCACCCGCTGCTTTATAGTTTATGTCATGTCGACGAACCCTGATTGTTCTTAGGGGTGAGAACTACCCCTAATTGTCAAAAATTATAAAATAACATATTAAACCTGAATATGGGTAAAATTTGGTTTGAATTAATTAAATAATGATAGTTTCGTGCTTTTGAATAAAGTTCCATCATATTTCAACCCTTAAAAAGCGACCCTTATTAGAGATTAATGTAAAAAAATTAGTAATGCGAAGAAAATGATTTCACCTTGGAACGATTTGTATAAAAATTTGGAATTAAGCTCAACTCACCCTCTGCTTTATAGTTTATGTCATGCCGATGAACCCTGATTGTTCTTAGGGGTGAAAACTACCCTTAATTTTAAAAAATTGTAAAATAATACTACAAATCTTAAGATGAGTGAAATTTGGTTTGGATTAGTTAAATAGTGAGTTTTTTATACTTTAAAATACAAATTCATACATTTTCAACCCTTAAAAATCAATTGTTATGAGTGCTATAGGTAAAAACAATTTTTTGCCAAAATTTTGCAACTTTTCAACTTTTGAAAATCACCCTTTACAACATTGCAGTTTTTATAAACTAATTTATAAGATATAAATTGAAAAAAGTAGAATTAAATACAAAAAAAATTATCAACATAAAAAGGCACCATATATTCTTATACATTTACATAAATAGTTGAAAATATTTACATTTATAGGTAAAACAAATATAGTATTAATTTTATTCGTCATCAATTACATCTTCATCGTAATCTATGTCATCCTCATCTTCTTCAATTATTGGTGGACTGTTATTGCACTCTTCACCTGAGCACCCAGAACAAGTAGAGTTACAGTATAAACCAACTTGTCTGCACCCATATGAAACGCCGCATCTTTTTTTGCATTGGCAAAAAATAATTGTCAAAAATTTATCGGGTGCAGGTTGTTTGTTCATGCGTACGGGTAATAACAAACCATCTTTGGAATACCATCCCCAATCTGTTGCTCTGATATTTTCATTGCCAAGCCATAGACATATGAGCAGATGTTTTATTCTGTTGTATGGGATTTCAAAATAAGAACGCTTAAAATTTCGAATGTATAACGCCCCACTAGCTAATATACCGGTTTTGTAGAATATTATGCTCCGAAATGTACTGTACTATACTAATGGAATTTTCCGGAAAAAAATTAACTGGTTTTTTTAACGTATTTCCTTTAATTTTTAACGATAGAGTGTTTCTTTAAAAACAATTTGTAGAGGTTTTTAATAGCTATAAGGATCTGTAAATTAAATCTTTTTGGAACCCTTGGTTTTTAAATGGGGTGAGTTTAAAGGGCTTGAAATAGATGGTGCTTGATCGTAAATCGATGCTTTAAACGGCTATATCTCGCCAAATATTCATTGTACAACAAATCTAAATAAAGGATAATTTTAGTCATTAAAAAAGCTACAATTTGGTAATTTTTATTTTTTACATATATTTAGTATTTTCGGGGATATTTAAAAAAAGAAGGGTAAAAAATATGAAATTGTAAATCGTTTCTCGCTTTAAGCTGTACTTTTTCTAAAACTAAGCATTTTAAATGGGTCAAACTTCTTGGACGTATTAACAATACATCTACAAAGGGAATTGCAGAAGGGTGAAGATCGATTTTAATTATGGGGGTGGTTAGGGTGTTGTTTTCCTCGATTTTTTCGTAAAAAATGAGGTATTGATCTTATTTTTTTATGATAGGTCTATTTATGCTCTTTAAAAAAGGTTTTGTGAGTTTTCTTCCAAAAATGCATCATTTTCCCGATATTTGACTTTGAATCTTTCAAATTTGGAATTTGAAGAAAACCGCTGAACATTGATATTGTATTTGTAATTGTATTTGTCTTTTTAAAAGCTACAAATTTGTTCTCTACAATTTTTTGATAAAATGCACCATTTTCGAGTTATTCGCGAAAAATCGATTAAAAACGTGGATTTTTTCGTCTAAAAGTTGTTACTTTCAATCGCGAATAACTTGAAAAATATCATTTTATAAAAAAAAATGTATAGCACATTTTTTGTTTAGAATCACTTTTCTAATCGAAACCTGTAGTTAAAACGTAAAAAAAATTTCACCCCAGAGATGGGGTGGCAACCACCCCCTAGGCTTTAGCGCACTTTGGTTCGATATAGATTTTGATCCTTAGGCTATTACCTACCTTCTGTTAAATTTCAAGTCAATCCACGCCGCACGAAAAAATTGCGAGGTGAAATGCTACATTTCCTGGACTATAACTGGTTTGACAGCATAATAAAATCGTAGATTTATGTGTAGCTTTCAATTTTTATGAGTTCAGAATCCAGCAGCCCTCTGAAGTATGGGATTTTTTATAATATAATTATTTGACAATATTTTGTTGGCCAACCAGCTACAGCAGAATTGAGCCGAAATACATTATATTCCTATGTTCCGAATTTATTTCGTTCAATCTGTATATGGACTCTCTTACTCCTTCAAAAGTATATATATTTCAAACGATCTTCGGGTTTTGCTACTTGCTTATAATTTTTTACCATCGTATAGTTAGTTTTACTAGTGTAGTATTTTTATTAATCTAATTTCTTGTCTTTATTATCAAAGGTTCTATTTATAACACTTACAAATTTATTAAAGTCTTTATTACTAATTTATTTCACAATATTTATTTATATTTATTTCCGCGTACAATTATATTTTCGGACTAGATCTAACTCGATCTTCAAAACTAACTAACTGTTTTCAACAAAATTCCCTGTTTAAATATAAAATACAGTTAATCGAGATTCCCTTCGAAATTCGGACGCCGACCCGCTCGAAAAGGATGGAAGGCAGACAGGTCTTTCAGCTGAGTGGCGAATGATTTCGAACGTCATGGAACTGGTTTTAGCGTAGGGAGGGGTCCCTTGGATATTGCCTACTAGAAAAATACTTATTAATAATGGTTCTCTTGTTGTTATGCCAGAGTTTATCTAATGTGGCATCAGGTCGTTTCGTATTTGATAATTTACATATTCTATTCCTGATTGGTGATAAACAATTTTTTCCATACATCTACATTATTATGTTTGCAGGAAAAACGACAACCGCAACATTAGTATCCAAAGAACTAGGTTTCGACGTCGTTGAGTTTAACGCATCAGATACCCGAAGCAAAAAGCTGTTACATGAAGAAGTAGCTCAGTTATTAAGTACAACAACAATTGCAGGGTTTGCTGCTGGTAAGTATTTTTTTTTGGAAAATTCGTATTACGCTGGTACGTGTATAATGCAAATGAAAAGAACTTAGCGTGATAATCATAAATCTATTTAAGAGAACGCAATTCGATCAATATTTAAAATCTGTATAATAATTGAAAACCCTTATACGAAGGTTGTCTTTTTAGTTTTGCATATAGCCATAAAGGCAAAAAGTATATAGACTTGAAGTACTTTATTGGTTTTCAAAATATGTCCCACCAAGATCGATACACTTTTGAATACATTCAAACCAATTGAATGGCTGATTGGAAAAGGGATAACATTCCTGCGAACTATGTTTTTAGAAAATAAAAAAAAGTGTTTTGCGCCGAAGCCTCTAGTTTTGCTAAAAACTTTTCTATTGAACATTGGATCACTTTGCAAAGATACATTTAATGCCAAAGTACTAAACAGTTCATGGCTATGAGGTAAGTAGTTATTGATATTTGAAAGTACAAAAATCTTATCCTTTTTCCACTCAAAATCAAAAACATAAGTAAAACAAAATAAAAAAGGGCATTTCTAAAAACTAATTTTTATTTCAGAAATAAACTTGAAACAAATGACATTTACATGATTTTCAGTCTTCTGGGTCACTGTTCTCTCTATTTGTTATAGGATTTGTGAGTATTGTCATAGAAGGCCCTGTAGTCTTCTGGTATATAATCTATTATTTTGGAAACATCTTCTAACTTCTTGGAGTTGATAGGAAGTTTGCCATTGTATGCTTTTGTGATGGGAAGGTTTAAATTATCTTGTTTCTTCATATTAAAAAGACCATAGGTGAAAGCATCAAAGAATTCAGACGCTTTGATATAGCCTTTCATTGTTTAGGTATATGTTAAATGTCTGTATTTGCTTATGGTAAATGACTGCTTTTTTTCAACATATTTGGCAGTCTTTTTAAAATATTGTGGCCACCAGCCTTTGAAATCCAGTATATCGGTATTTGTTAGCCGTTTTACTTGGAACTTATTATTGTTCTTTTTCTTAGAATACGCAATAAGTTCATTATATTGATCAGGAGAATAAATCCTATCAAGTTATTTTAAAGAGCGCTTAATAACTGAGAAGTTTCTGTCACAATGCAAAAAACTATGGCCTCGGATTAGAAAATATTGATGGATTTCTTGAAATTTGCCATTCATCGTCAGTGCAGTAAACAACCTGGTTAAAGTGTGATTACGATTTTGTCCTGCACATGCATCACTAAAGACATGCAAGATTTTTACTTCTCCAGGGATATGTCCAGTTATGAAGTCCAAAACCAACGTACTGACTTCATAGGGGCATCGCTGAGCATCTCCCTCTGTGTATGTGTAGAACATCGATAGATCATTGCCAAGGCTATGGGCATTAAAACATAATACCAAAGTTTGGGTAAATAAAACATTTCTTGAACTGGCATTAAAGGAAGGGGAAGGTTTTGCATATAATCAAAGGCTATTGTTCCAACGTCATTTGTCTCCTTACAGGTCTCTCTGATTTCTTTGAATTTTTTAAAAAATTTAGATGCTCGTCTTTTATGTATCATAAGCTCTGCAACTGCTCATCTTTTTGCAGTTTCATTAAGAAATTTTGTCGACTTTATTTTTGCATTTAAATCTTCACAGGTCGAGCAAACGTCGACTTGGGGTCTACCAAACCGATATCCATAGTTTTTTCGGAAATCTCGCAGATAATATTCATACTTAACGATAGTTCTTAAATCAGGATTTTCATTAATAAAGAGCTCATACATCTCAGTTACGCTTAAGCTAGCATCTAAGTAGATAGTTAACTTAGAAGAATAATGAAACTTTTTTTCCGAAATGATTTTATGTGATCATCAATTTTCGCAACAATCGTAACATCAAGTTTATTTGAACGACTTGCATGTCTTCCTCGCATATCAACTGGTAAAGTTTTAGATTCGACAATTTTCGTTAAGCGTTGTACGGCTGTGTTGGAGAGAGAGCATGTAAACTGATATAAGCGTTGCGGAAAATGTCAACTCTGCACGTGCCTTTCATAGCAAAATACTTGAAAGAAGAAGAAATCTGTCTAGATTCTGCTGACGTAGGACGATGTCTGACAATATCGTGTCTTTCTATTAATTCGATTAGGTATGTATCTTTTTCATTTTTTGGTCTTCCACTATAAACGATTTCGATGATTGAATTGTTTTACTTCAAATGCGAAATCCGCCATACATTTCTTACGACAGGTGCAATCTGGTCCGGTTACTCTAGCATTAACTAGTGTACCTTTTTGTGTAACAATCTCTCTTCATGATTGTCTTGCCAATTTTTCCCTTTCTTTTATGTGACATTTTTTATCGAGCTTTCGCTTTTTTCCTACACCTGCGGGTTCATCCTCCGAATAGTCCGAATCCGACATTTCTATAAATAAAGAATAAATATTTTTATTCAACAATAACATGCTAACTTATCCACTAGACACTGAACTATTAAATTCTAGATAACTTCAATTTTCACGACAGGTCAATGTTAAATAATATTCACTTATAAAAGAACTTTTAAAACACTTTTCAACAACAGTTGAAAAATAAATAAAAAAACAATACTATTGACCCGACGAAAGTGCAAAACAACCTGAAAATCAGCTGTTTTAGACTCCGACGGTTATTAACGACACGTTTTTTACATTGAGTGGATAAACGATAACATTCCAGTAATATCCTTTTTCCGCTCAACAACAATATTTTTACATAAAGGAGGCCGGTGATTTTATCGTTTTTACGCTCAGCAGATAGAAGATACAAATATTCATAAAATGGCTATCTCACTTTAATTCGCTATATTTTTGGAATGTTATCCTTTTTCCAATCACCCATTCAATTGGTAAAACAGTTATTCCAGTCGTCAGTTAACACCTGCAAAATCGTTGTTTTAAAGGCATCGATGGCTTCTTCTGGCGACTGTAATCGCTATCCACGCATTGAATTCTTTATCATTGGGAACGTAAAGAACTCGTTGGGACTTTGGTCGGGGCTATAAGGTGGACGGTTTAACAATTCGATGTCATGAAGCTCCAAAAACTCTATTGTCTTGGGCAGTATTAGCACGTACATTGTCCTGATGTAGGATGATTCGCCGTTGTGTGTTGCTTTGTCGAAGTTTCGCCATAACTTCTGGTAAACAAATGGTTATATACGAATCAGAAGTAACCGTTCTTCGATCTTCTAAAGCAATTGTTGCCACATAAACAGATTTTGACACAAAAGTTGTGATCATTTTCTTGCACAAACTTCGAGAACGGATTACTTTTGTTGGTTTTTCCTCATTCGTGAAACACTCACAGAGCGGATTGACGTTTAGTTTCCGGTTCGTGGGAGTAAATTCAAGATTTATCGCCACTAACACTACTATAAACGTTTTTTGAGCTTTAGTTGTTGAACCATTCTAATATTTTTCGACACCAATTGGCGCGAACCGCTTTTTGCTCTTCTATGAACAAATAGGAAACCATACCTTCGTAACACCAAGTTTTTTATGTAGGATTTTTTGGATTCAGGTCTTTGAAATGCCTATATCTCCCGGTATGTTACACGGCTGTTAGCCTTAATTAGATGACGAACCGCAACAATATTTTGCTTTTTGACTGCTCTTTCACGTGTACCTGACCTGGACTCGTCGCTGAGACTGGAGTGACCACATTGAAATTCGGAATACCAGGGCCTTGATTCTATTTCAGGATTTCAGCTGAACTAACCAAAGAACGTCACTAATTTTCGATTTATCGAAATTAATTTCAACTTCAAGAAAGTGGTTGAGATTTCATTTCGAGTCGAAAGTAATGTGCCATGACTGGCTGGACTGGGAGAAGTGAGATTAGGTTCAGTTTAGGTGGTTTTATGTTGTTTGATTCTTGCAAGGAAAACTGAGGCAAAAAGTATTAATATGGCTGCATTTTATGAGAAATTGTATGTAATTCGGCACCCAATTGGTCGAAATTTTGACACCTATAAAAATAGAACTGCAGTACCTGGGGGCCCCAAGCCAGATGCTACTGATTATTTTTTTAAAATACTGTGGTACAAAAATTAAAGAAATAAAATGTCTGAAGAAATCCCCTTCGTTGGCTCAGTGAAGATGTTCGTTGAGTTGTAATGGAAACACCAAATAATAGTAGCAGAATTTATTGATGAGACGTATACTATGGGTGTTGACCCGGGATTACTTTGAGTAGAGACTGATGAAGTTGATCGTTGAAGACTATCAAGTTTGTTGAGTGAATATTGATTGAATGCTTCTCTAGGTAAAAAGAACTTAGTTTTATATAAGTTTTAATTGGGTCAATATATTCGCGGACCTCGCGTGATATGTGTATCTAATTTATGTAAATTGTTTACTTTTGTCAGCACTTTTGACTGATGTCCAAATTATATTATTGATAATTGACTAAATGTGTATGTAACCTAATTAACTACGTGTGTGTATTTAATAACAAATAAATTCATTCGGTCTACTGGGTGATAAAATTATACTGTCCAATTTCGGATATGAATTCTGAAGATTTGATATTGGACAATGTCCCAATATTAAAACTAAATTGGAGACCACAATTTTTGAAGATATTCAACAGGTTGTAATGGAAGATAGAAATAATAAATAATTTCGTTGTAATAATTTATTTGCTCTTTTTACAAATTATGTGTTTGAATGGCATGCTCTTGAAATTGTACTCTCTTATTTGGAGATATAAAATAATCTTTAAACTCATCACGAATATTTAGAGTGGTTATATATTGTTTTTAGTAATACATCTCCTCCTACTTTCAGTAGTTCCGATGCTATTCGATCCAATCCCTGTGATTTATTGTTTTTCAATTTGGCTACTGCTGTTCTAATCTTGGTTATTGTTGGTGCCTGGTGGGTACTTTTCTTTGATGTCTGCGTGGTCTAATTGTATATCAAAGTTCTTGTCCAGCCGCCATTATGACATAAGTTTTACGTTTTTGCGCACAAATTGGCGCATTTTTTGTACAAGAAACTGCAGCGGACACAAATTCTTGTATCGTTTTGATATAAGAACTATAGGCTTGTATGACACTATCTATTTTTTTTGTTATATCAGAAACGATATAAGAAATGATACAAGAAAATGCATAGTGTCATACGGCCTTAAGAAGAATGTTACGGGATACTCAAAATCCTTTTTCACTAAGTGATGCTCAATTTAGACAGCAATTCCGCCTTAATAAACAAGCTGCAAATTATTTGATAAGGATATTAGAACCATATTTGGAGGAGGGTGGTTATGCCTTTAGGAGACCCAAAATGTTTAGGATAAGTATTACTAAGCTGCAGTAAATTTAAAAATATATTAGAATATAACCACTAAGTCAAAAGCCACCATAATTTCTATTTGGTCCACAGACAATTTAGTGACACCATCACCGACAGCCTCTCCATTCATTTTCTTTCAGTTCAAAATATAATAATTGAGAATGGCCACTAAAAATTTAACGTGCAGCGTGTAGCGTGCAGCCAATAGACAATACGGACCAACCCAAATTCTGAGCAGTGTCAAAATGATAAAGTAAATATCCCCACTTTTAACTAAAATCGAATTGAATGAGAATCGCTAGCGATTGCGACTGTCATGGCGTAGTCGCTTTTAAATTTCGACATCGAAATGAAATAGAATCAGGACCCAGAGGGAAATCGTTGACTGGTGTGATGCTTTATTTCCAAACACAGAAACCACTTCAGCGACTCATTGCTGTTGGATACATAATACTCTCTGAAAATTGTAAAACCCTATTGCTCCTAAATGTTCTCGACTAAGATCCATTTTTCGACCGACTTGTCAATTTCAAAAATTAACTGTATCTACACGACTTGTTGTATCGCAATGAAGCTCTCGATTTATACCAAAAAAACATTGAGGTTACATTTGTGTCGGAAGATTTTATTGGTGGAGCTCTCTAAGCGTCTATATGCAAAACCAAAAAGACAAACCTCGTATATGGACCAAATCTGGAATCAACCTTATATGCGTGGAAGGCTATTTACATTTTTTAGTTTGTCTCGACCAAATGATTTCATTTAATCTTGGTCTTAGTGCCTTCATTCCCCGATGAATTTCGTGAAGGTGGTCATTAATCCGTTGTTTCGTTAAACATCACTGTGAATTAATATTGCATTTTAAAATAGAGTGTCAATATCGCTATGAGACTTATCGTTAGGTTGAGTTAAGCTGAATCATTTAACAAGGATATTTGAAATAAAGTGTATGAACCCGAAACTAGACCACATGCTTTTTATTGGTTATCTCAATAAGGAATAATATAATTAATTGATCAGTTGATGCTAAGAGTCAATGAGTCAAGAATCAATGGGAATTCAATTGAAAGCGTAAATTTACTTATCTCGGAGCTACATTAAATGAGAAATTTAATTGAAGAAGTAAAAGAGCGGATTGGCTGTACCAAAACAACATATTTCAACATTAAGAATATTTGTAGGCATTTACCATAAGTACCAGAATATGTGTTCTTAAATGTTGTTATTTGTGGTCTATTCTGTTGCGTCGAAACTTGGTCACTTAAGTGAATAATTTGAATTTTTTGTTTTCTAACAGGTGCGTGGGAATGTAGTACTAGTATTAAGTAACCACTTGTAGAGAGAATAATATATATCTTCTTATTTGTCTCTTTATTTGTATCTCAAGATCTCTGTATTTGATGATTTTCTCGTTGTATGTAACACGCAGATAATTGTTGTTAGGTATCGCCATATCAATTATAAGTGATGTTTGTCTAGTTAATTTATTAACTGATATAAGATCTGATCTATGATGTGCCACTGATTGGTTCGTGAAAACAGTGTGTTTCTGAAGCATACTGACAGGGACATATTGATAATAAGGATGATGGTTGGTTTGTCGCAATATTGATGAAGTATCTTGTTATTTTGGATAGGATAAGAAACGCACAAAGAGCGATGGAGAGACAAATGTTGGGTGTATCACTTAGAGATAGAAAACGTAACCAGTGGATCAGAACCAGAACAAAGACAGTAGACGCGATAGAACAAGCAGTAAAACTGAAATGGAAATGGGCTGGACACAATGAACGTCTCCAAGACGGACGATGGAACAATGCCATCGGAAAGTATCGTCCATACAATGCAAAGAGATCAAGAGGCAGACCACAGATGAGGTGGAAAGATGACATCAGGAAACAAGGAGGTCCCACATGGCAGAGAACAGTTCAAGATAGGGAAAGATGGAGAGAACTGGGGGAGACCTATATCCAACAATGGAAGGATAGAGAATAGGTTAAAAAAAAACAATCTTGTTATTATACAGTCATATTTATCTTTATAATCAATTCCGACAAATGCGTAGCACATTTTGGTAAGATGGATTGTTTCATCTATATCGGCATTTTGGACTTAGGGGTAATTGGTGATATATTTCAGGCTGTTTTTGGTTACAGTTACCTGATTCCGAATGGAAAGTACGAAATCAGCTATTTTGAAAAGCATCTTTCCTATTGCCGACATAGTCCTGGTTGACTTCATTGAAATGTCACCTAATCAGAGGTTTTCCCATCCATGTTTGGTAACGATTTACACAAAGTAGGAGACGGCCTATGTAGCTCAGAGTTGAGTGCATCCGGCTTTAGTGTTAAATGATGCAGGTTCGATTCCAGCTACATGGAGAAAATGAAAAATCAAAAAGTATTCCTTAGATCCTCGGTTAAAAGCCCCTGACAAACCACGAAGTCGTAATCTGTCTGGTACAGCTCCTCTACACTTAGTCGTTCGAATTCGACTTTAAATTGTAGGTCCCCTGTATGTGTGCACACTGAATGTTTGAGAACACAGATATATGCAGAGAAGTTCTTCTTTAAGTGGCATCTCCGCGACGAAGGTTGGCAATGATCATGGCTATTCTGACCTTCGAGGCAGCTGCTCTGAACAATTGCCTTGAGCTGCAACCACACCACTCTCTCAGGTTCTTCAACCAGGAAACACGTCTTCTTCCTACGCTTCTCCTACCCTCTTCGCAGAGAAGTTGCTAGGGTCAAATTTGGGTATGTCACAATAAGAAGGAAACAAACTTTATACTTAATTTGATACATAATATATACATACACCTGTTCAAGATCACTGTCTTGAATTAGTTTATCATGCCTTTTCTGCAACGACAGCTCTTTCTTGTAAATGATACCGAAAAAGGTAACGACCAGCTATTCATTAATGTGGGGCTAAGCCTAGATCGGTTGAGGCATGTAGGTTAGAAAATAGTAAAGATGCAAGATAATATCTAGTTTTCCCATCTCTAATGAGTTGTTGACATGTTTTTGCGCCTTTGCTTCTGTGTGTCATTGAATCACCTGCACAGATATTTAAATTACATTCTATATTTAAGTTCTCTTTTAACTTCCATAGGTAAAACAAAGACTGATAAGAAGCGAGTTCTTCTTATGGATGAAGTTGATGGTATGGCAGGAAATGAAGATAGGGGAGGTATTCAGGAACTAATAAATCTCATAAAAACAACCAGTGTACCGATTATTTGTATGTGTAACGACAGGAACCACCAAAAGATGAGATCATTGGTTAATTATTGTTTTGACTTACGATTTAGTAAGCCCAGATTGGAGCAAATTCGGGTAAGTATACTTAATTAATATACACTGCGCGGCAAAATTAATGCATAATTATAAAATTATAATTTCAGTCGTAATGAAAAAATGTTGATTGTTCTTTTATTCTTTAAGGTTGCTTTTAGAACATCTGAAATAAAAAACTTATCTTTTTTTACGAAAAATGTATTTCGATAAAACTATCTATAAATAACTGACAAAATTGAAAATTTTTCAAAACATTGAAAAGTTCAAGAAAATTAAACTAGTAGCGAGTATTGCCTCCTCTGGCATTTATTACTTCTTGACAACGATCTCTTATACTGAAAATTACCGTTCTTATTATTTTTATCTTGATTAATTTGATCCCAAATTTCAATAAACCGGAAAACAGTTGTTCTAATGTGTTTGGTGCGTTAGGTAGTTGTCATACTCGTCTCCCTACGATGTCTTAAACATGTTCTATTGGGTTAAGGTCGGAACTTCTGGCAGGCCAAACCATGGCAAGAATCCCAACCCATAAATGTCTGTAATGTACCTGTGTGACGTAACCCACCCGTGGTTTATTTTAAATAATTCCTTACGAGCCTCCAAATTAATCCCATCCCACACCATTACTGGGCCGCCACCATACTGTACAGTCCCTACAGTGTTACACTATGCGTAGCGTTCCCCAGACCTTCTGTACACTCTGTTTCGCCTGTCATCAGAAAAAAGGACCTGGATTCACCGGTGAACAATTTTCTGCCCCAATCGTCATTATGCCAAACATGTTCACGAGCAAAATGCAATCTTGTGACTGCCCTTCCAGGGACCAGATCGTTTGAGGCAAGTCTTCTTCTTATCGTATTTTAGTTGATTCTAAAGTTATAACGATACAAAAATTCATTTTGTAGAGAAGTAACAAACCTTTGTCTCGATGTACAAAAAACCGGTCTTGACTAGGAGTTGTAACCCTTCTACGGTCTTGACCGGGTTTTCTCGAGTTACTTTCAGTAACAGTAACGTGTTAAGACTCTTGAAATGGTTTGCTGAGTGACAGTAAACCGGTCACTTTCTGACAAATTTCGAATTTCTTGCTGCTACTTAATAAACTTAAAAAACGACTTTGAACGGAATTTAAATTAAAATGAAGTACAACTTACATGTTTTTAATTTGCTGGCAAAAATTGATGGAAGCGTTTTTTATCGTTCTTTCGATAAATTTTACAATATACAAGAGGTAATAATAATATATTAGCACAAAAATCGAAACAATTTAAAATTATGCGTTAATTTTGGCGTGCATTTTATTATATACAAAATGTAAAATGTTAGGAAACTATATACACTGAAAACACATTCTTAAATCTGGTTTTAAGTTAAAAATTTCGTTTATGGACGTGAGAAAAATAATGAGATCAATGTTAGAATTTGACCCATTGACTCATTTATAAAAAATGCTAAATGAAATTAATTGAAGAAGAACTGATGGAGACAAAATATACAACTTGGCAAATTTCACTTTGTCTCTGAGATGCCAAACAAAGGCCGTGCTATTAGTGAGGGGATCGCAAACACGCATGTACTGGTTTTCTCATTATATTTTGACCCCTACTTATTTTCCTTAATTTCTGGAATACAAAAAAAAAGTTTCAAATAAAAGTTGTATTTTTTATCTGTACCAACCAACCAACCAACAATATAGCAACAGACCAAATTTTGTATACAGGGAGTGTCCAATAAAATGCATCTTCAATATTTCAAATGGGACACCCTGTATTTTTTTATAGTTTTGAGTAGTCCTGCTTTTCCTGATTACCAATATATAACATTGTGTAGCATTAGTTTTGTTCTATAATGGCATATGGTACTACAAAAGGGTAATCATAGGTGGCTATGCAACTGACATTCCAAAATGAAACAATTATTAATTTATTATAAACTGTCAGTCCTCATACCGAAATGGGTTATACTGAAGATGAAAAAGTAGATATATTCTCAATTTATGTAAAAAATAATAAAAATAAGCAAGCGACAAGAAGAGAATATAGGCTGATTTATCCAGATCGACAGACTTGGTAAAAATTAAATACTTAAATAATAAGTGAAAAAGACAGCAAATATTTGATTTCACGCAAACAGCGCCTTTGTATCTGTTGATACGTATTTCGACCTAATAGGTCTCATCAGAACAGTTATTCAAAGGTGTTCTCAACGTGAAAGATCAATATTTCCTGTCTTTTAAGAAGCAACAATAACATGGCTTCGAATACGGACGCACTAGCGACATCTAATTTAACAATCGTAAAATAGTTTCGAAACACAATTCAGATTTCTGCTTTTATCTGTGCTTTCTAAAAATTGCAAAGCAAAACAGACGTTGATAAAGGTGTTAAAAGAGACGTGGGGAATCTAAAATTTGCATTCCACGACACATCTTTTCAACTAAGCAGAAATCCTTAGCGAATTGGTTTCTTGTACTCGTACAGAGTAAATCCGAAAAAAGTGAAAAAGACAGCAAATATTTGATTTCACGCAAACAGCGCCTTTGTATCTGTTGATACGTATTTCGACCTAATAGGTCTCATCAGAACAGTTATTCAAAGGTGTTCTCAACGTGAAAGATCAATATTTCCTGTCTTTTAAGAAGCAACAATAACATGGCTTCGAATACGGACGCACTAGCGACATCTAATTTAACAATCGTAAAATAGTTTCGAAACACAATTCAGATCTCTGCTTTTATCTGTGCTTTCTAAAAATTGCAAAGCAAAACAGACGTTGATAAAGGTGTTAAAAGAGACGTGGGGAATCTAAAATTTGCATTCCACGACACATCTTTTCAACTAAGCAGAAATCCTTAGCGAATTGGTTTCTTGTACTCGTACAGAGTAAATCCGAAAAAAGTGAAAAAGACAGCAAATATTTGATTTCACGCAAACAGCGCCTTTGTATCTGTTGATACGTATTTCGACCTAATAGGTCTCATCAGAACAGTTATTCAAAGGTGTTCTCAACGTGAAAGATCAATATTTCCTGTCTTTTAAGAAGCAACAATAACATGGCTTCGAATACGGACGCACTAGCGACATCTAATTTAACAATCGTAAAATAGTTTCGAAACACAATTCAGATTTCTGCTTTTATCTGTGCTTTCTAAAAATTGCAAAGCCTATTAGGTCGAAATACGTATCAACAGATACAAAGGCGCTGTTTGCGTGAAATCAAATATTTGCTGTCTTTTTCACTTTTTTCGGATTTACTCTGTACGAGTACAAGAAACCAATTCGCTAAGGATTTCTGCTTAGTTGAAAAGATGTGTCGTGGAATGCAAATTTTAGATTCCCCACGTCTCTTTTAACACCTTTATCAACGTCTGTTTTGCTTTGCAATTTTTAGAAAGCACAGATAAAAGCAGAAATCTGAATTGTGTTTCGAAACTATTTTACGATACTTAAATAATAGATTAAATCCATAATAACATTTTTATTTTAGAAAATTCAAAATTAGATACATATAGTTTTAAAAAAGCACAACTATAAGCCGTACAAAATATTACCGATGTTCATAAGAGAAAGCGTTTACAGTTCTGTCAAGACATGCTTACAAATTTGAACAATGATCCTAATTATTTTTATAACATTGTATGGACAGATGAATCAAATTTTTCAACTTCAGGCATTTTTAATAGAAGAAATAGGTATTCGTGGGAACAGAAAAATAATAAAAAAAGAATAATTAAGCAAATAAAAAAGTCAGGAAGAAAATCAATAAATGTGTGGTGCGGAATATTTCAAAACAAAATAGTTGGATCATTGTTTTATGATTATAAATTAACTGGGGAATCATATTTGGACACAGTCATTACAGAAGTGGATGAGTTATTAAATCAAAATTATACACAAAATCAGTTAAATAGTATGATATGACAATAATATGGAGCAACGCCACGTAATGTGATAGCCATTCAAGAACATTTAAATAATCAATTTAATGTGTGGATCGGCAATAAGGGTATCATTACATGGCCACCAAATAGTCCCGATTAACACCATGTGATAGCTTTTATGGGGTTTTTAAAAGAAAAAGTGTATTTTTATTCAAATACAAATATTAACACTATCACGGCAAAAGTTCGCGCGGAAATTGAAAATTTAAATGGTCATAATAACACAATATCTGACGCATTAGAAAATTTGAGACGAAGATATTACTTGTGCATTGATAATAATGGAGGGCACTTTGAGCAAGTGTAATCTTAAATGTAGTATTGTATCTTAAATGTAGTATTATAAGTCATTAATTTTGTTGACGTTCTAAATATATTTTTTGCTTATCTTAGTATAGTATAGTAGTACCATACGCCATTATAGAACAAAACTAATGCTACACTATGTTATATGTTTGTAATCAGGAAATGCAGGGCTACTCAAAACTATATATAAATACAGGGTGTCCCATTTGAAATATTGAAGATGCGTTTTATTGGGCACTCCCTGTATACAAAATTTGGTCTGTTGCTACACTGTTGGTCGGTACAGATTAAATAATACAACTTTTATTTGAAACTTTTTTTGTGTTTCCGAAATTAAGGAAAATAAGTGGGGGGTCAAAATATAATAAGAAACCCTGTACACTCCGCGTAAAAGTTTTAGTTATATAATAAATAGATCAAATAGTTAGACATTTTCAAAATAAAATCATGAGAATTATTAAAAATCGGTTACTGATTCTGCTTAAAGAATTAATTGTATTTATTATTGCATTTATCTTTTGATACAAAGTAATATTCATTATTTTTCAAATTTCTTATATCAATAATTATGTATTAAAATGATGAAGAAAGTTTTATAAATACAATAAATAAAAATTTTTAATTATATTTAGAAGGTACACAGTGTTGATGAATGTTGATTTCTAAATAAAAACTAACAATACCTATTCACTAAATAAAAATACAATAGGAACTGAAACACTAATCATGTATATTTAAAGCTTTTGTGAGATTTGTTTAATTGCTTGCCTAGTAGAATATCAACAATAAATTTTAAATTTACAATAGTTTTTAAATTATTAAAAAAAAATTACCGGTTAAACTCGTTAACAAAAAATTTCAGTTTGATGTGCTAAAATATTTATTTACAATCGATCTGTATGAATCACCATTAGTGAATTTACTATTTTTACTTTCAGAACTAATTGTAAAATAAATCATCGTTTGAATCGTCATTTTGAAAATTTATAGTAATTTGATCTATTGCTGTATCTATCGTTAGTTCCAAGTCAAGAAGTTCTTTTTCAAGTTTTGAGAGCATGTTGGCAACGATTATGCGATTATTATATATTATGATACTAAATTTCCATATAACAATTATATTTCCTTTGTTTTTTAAACACTACTATGAAAACATATTGCAAGTCTTAAATTTTCTAGTTAAACTCCAAAGTTTAGCAAATACTTTTTTAATTGCTTGTAAGTACATTGTCCATGCGATCTTCATGTTTGATGATTTGAGCAACTCTATAGTTTAATTATGTTTGTACAAACAAATTTTGATACAAATTCTCAATTTGTTTTTTTAGGGCGCTATGATGTCTATCTGTTTTAAAGAAGGTCTAAAGTTAACTCCAAACATTTTGTCAGAAATAATATCTGGAACAGGCTGTGATATTCGTCAAACTTTGAACCATCTCACTATGTGGTCGGCGCAGAAAGACAATCTCACTCTCGAGGAAGTTCAAAACAAAGCAAAACAATCTAAAAAAGATACGGTTCTGGGTCCGTGGGAGGTGGTTAGAACAGTTTTTTACTGAATCCGAAAAGAAGGATATGAGCGTAGCTGATAAGGCTAGATTATTCTTTTACGATTACAGCATGGGACCACTTTTTGTACAAGAAAATTATTTGGGAGTCACACCTAAGTGTCCAAAGTAAGTATTTTTTATTTTAATAATAATTATAAATTAATTTTAGTACTCCTAACTACTGAATTAATAATAGTTTTGGGTTTCGCATAATACTCTAAGTATATTTTTGCACGTTTCACCAAAATTCTAACTAACATAACTTTGGGAAATATCCTAAAACTGTTATGTATCTACTCGAAAAAATCACAAAAGTAGGTATTACGTAGTAGAGAGAATGATATTATTAATATTCTCTCTCCTATTGCCGACAAGAATGTAGAGCATAGAATAGTTTTTAATAATTTTAAACTGTTTGTCTTTATGTTAATGTAGTGTTATGTACAATTTATGGCCAATTTCATGTTTATTACATTCTGGACTTGCTGAATAGCCCAAATTTGATGAAATGTACCTGATGATGCTGTAGAAAGCGAAAGTACTTGGGCAAGATTTGATTATTAACTTTGTGCTCGATATTTGCCTTAATTTTTTAAAGTTCATTTATTCGAGCATTCAACCTCATATCAATGATTTTTTATTGTATTCTTTAATTTTATTTTGTCTTTATTAAAATTTTAGGTCTGAAGTTATGAAACGAGTAGCACTAGCTGCAGATTCCATTAGCAGAGGTGACCTAATAGATGCCAAAATCAGGGATCCAATAATTGGGCCCTTTTAGAAAGTCAAGCGATTTTCGCTTCTGTTTTGCCTGGTCATTATATGTCCGGACATGTTTCCAGTAGGATTAATTTCCCAGGATGGTTAGGAAAGAATTCAGCAGCGAATAAACGTAAGAGGATGCTTAATGAACTACATGTTCATACAAGAATGAGGTAAATTATAAAGTAGGAGTGAAATGATTGAATACAGTTAAAATTTTACATCAACAATAATTGATTTATTTCTTTTCACTATATTTCATGGAATTTAATTGATATTATTATCACTGAATTAACAAGCCCCGGAAAAAAAGCAGCAGTATCTAACCGTAATTAGCAAACTTTTTTGTTTCTATCAGCCTTACTCTCGAAGAATTTACTAAACCATTTAGGGTCTGTCTGTAGTAAGGTATAAGTGTTTTTGTGTTCAACATTTCCTACTTGGCAAAATTAAATTCAAATTTTTGCCACTGCGCTTTCTATAACTTGCAAAGTAGACATATTTATAAGTTAGTCGACAAGGGAATCTATAATTTGCATTCCACATGCCGTTCATCACGGCAAAATTCCTAGCGAATTTAGTTTCTAGTACTCGAAACCGACTAAAGAACTAAAACAGAAAGACGGTATTAGATTTAAGTTTAATGCAAGGCATCTGCCATCCGCTTATACGTATTTCAACCTCATTAGTTACCATCAGAGCGTCACATGCAGAGGCTCTGAATCGAAATTAAATATCTTCCGTCATAGTACAATAATTATAAAAATAATTATTTACAGATGTTATAACGCCATCTAATAACAATATTAGAAATCTTAAGATTTTCTACTTGGCGAAACTAAATTTAAATTTTTACCACTGCGCTTTCTACAACTTGCAAAGCAGACAGATTGATAAGTTAGTCGACAAGCTAATTTATAATTTGCATTCCATATAAATTTCGATTCAGAGCCTCTGCATATGACCCTCTGAAATACGTATAAGCGGATAGCAGATGCCCTGCATTGAAATTAAATCTAATACCGTCTTTCCGTTGTAGTTCTTTACTCGGTTTCGAGTACTAGAAACTAAATTCACTAAGAATTTTTGCCGTGATGAACTACATGTAGAATGCAAATTCCCTTGTCGACTAATTTATCAATCTGTCTGCTTTGCAAGTTGTAGAAATCGCAGTGGTAAAAATTTGAATTTAGTTTCGCCAAGTAGAAATCTTAGGATATCTAATGTTGTTATGAGATGGCGTTGTAAGTCTGTTAATAATTATTTTTATGACGGGAGACGTTTAACTTCGATTCAGAGACTCTGCATATGACGCTCCGATGATACTTAATGAGGTTGAAATACGTCTTTCTTATACCGTCTTTCTGTTTTTTTATTCATTTAAAGTAAATCATGTAATAATTTCACTAAGTCTGCAAATATATAGAATAAAAGTACCGGGTTCAGACTGAGTAAAAAGGACTTGAATAACATCAATACATTAGTGGTAAAAGTGTTCGACATTGACTAATATAATTTATAGAATTCTGACTCGAGGGCCTGCTTTAAGTATAGTTTATCAAAAAATAGAGCTAAATTTTGTTAGCGAACATTGTAACTTGTTAAATACTGCAAAGCTACGGATATTACTGGGAATAAATGGAGGAAGAACTTTCAAAAGTGAATTGGGATATTGTGGGTATCACTGAAGTTAGAAATAAAGAAAAGAGTCTTATCATACTTCCATCAAGCCATTTATAGTACTACAAAGGTAGAGGAATCGACACTTTATTCGCAAAAGAAATGCCAACATAATTGTGTCAGTAAACCAAATATCAACAAGGGTTGTCTACTTAAATATCAAAATAAGCGCAGGATATAATTTAAAGATCATTCAAGTGTACGCCCCTATTACAGGAAATCCAGACAAAGAAATCCAAATATTCTACGATCAAATATCCTGTGCAATCACGGAAAATCCTGGCCACTTCTTAATAATAGGTGACGATTCCAACGCCAAAATATGCACAAAGGAAGACCCCTCTGAAATAGCATTGGGAAATTTTGGTAGCGAAGGCAGAAAAGATAGAGGCAAACAACTGTTAATTTTCCTTTTGTAAAACAATCTTAAACCAATGAACAGTTTCTTTAAAAAGGAAAATCACAGAAGATGGATTTAAGAAAGCCCTGATGGAAACACAAGGAAAAAAATCGAGTATTTCTTAAAAAACAAAAAAGATTTATTTAAAAACGTGAATGTGTGAAACCAGTTTAGTACAAGCAATGATCATATGTTATTAAGAAAGAAAATAAAGATATCAGTCGAAAAAGAGAGACTCAAAATGATAAATAAGAAACAACCAAAGAAATGGATAAAACTAACTAATTTTTAGAAGTTCGAAAATATATTGATAATTCATTGAAATACACAACAACAACAAACATCAATATATTGAATAAACAATTGTCATCTGTCCATCTCGTTGGGGGTAGACGTCTATTTCTGTTAGCTTGCATTCAGGGTCTCCATTCCAAAATTCTTTTTGTCCACCGGTCATCAACTGATCTTGCTACATGACCTGCCCAGTTCCACTTTAGTATTGTTATCCTTTCAATAACGTCTGCTACTCCTGATCTTTTGCGTATAGTATTTGCATTGGGTATTCTATCACGTAGAGAAATCCCTAAAATTATTTTCTCCATTGCCCTTTCCGCAACTTTTAGTTTACTCACTGTTGTTCTTGTGAGTGTTAGGGTTTCTGCGCTGTAGGTCATCACTGGCAAAATACACTGATTAAAAACTTTTCTTTTCAGACACATTGGAATCTTAGACCTAAAAATATCCTTCATCTTTCCAAATGCAGCCCAAGCGAGGTTTATTCTTCTTTTCAGCTCGATTGTTTGGTTTTTTCGACTTATTCTGATCTTATGGCCCCAGTATTTATAGGAGTCAACTGGCTTAATATCTTTGTCTTCTACTGAGATGTTTTTGTTGTGGACTCTCTCTCTTCAATCCTGACCCCCCAGGGGGAGTGTAGTGGTCGACGTGATGTCGTGTATTGTCCCTCTCCAGAGATCTCTGTCTCTGGTCATTTCTTTTAATTCATGCATAGGTCTTTGGCATATTCCTGTAATTTCATCTATCCATCTTGTTGGGGATCTTCCTCGTGATCTTCGGCCTTATACCTTTCCTTGTATTATGAGTCTTTCCATGTTTTCTGTGTTTGCTCTCATAACATGCCCAAAATATTTTAATTGTTGGAGATGGACTTTACTAGAGAGTCGTTTGGCTAACTTTTAGCTCTCTTAAAATTGAATTATTTGTTCTACGGTCGGTCCAAGGAATTCGTAACACTCGTCTCCAACAGAACATTTCAGTGGCGTCTATCTTTCTTCTCTCCGATTGTCTCAGAGTCCAAGATTCACATCCATAGGTCAGTATTAGGAATATTAAGCAGTGATCAACCTCATCTTTATCGCTCTTGAAATTTGACAGTCCTTCCATATTTTGGTCATTTTTGCTGTGGCAACTTTTGCTAGATCACATCTACGTTTAATCTCTTCTTGTAATGACCCTGTTTTTGTGATTAATGATCCCAGATATAAGTATGAGCTCACAACCTCGAACCGGTCAATTGTGGTTATGTGTGGATGCAAGAAGGGCTGTGTCATCTGCGAAACGTAGGTTGTTTAGTTTATGACCATTTATTGAGATGCCCTTTTCCCATCCTTCAAGTGCTCTTCGCATAATATACTCCCCATATTATATGTTGAATAATTGTGGAGATAGTATACATCCTTGTCTGACACCGCGTTCTGGATGAAACTCGTTCGAGTGTGTCAAGTACTTTAACTGATCCAGTAGTGTGTTCATATAGTTCAGTTATAAGCGTAATTAGATGTTGTGGTACGCCTACTTCTTTTAGTATTCGCCATAAGTGTCTCCACTTGACCCTGTCGAACGCTTTACGGTAATCTATAAAACAGATGTAAGTGGGATGTTGAATTCCCTAGATTTCTCGATTATCTGTCTTATATTCAGCAGGTGTTCTCGAGTGCCTCTACCTTTGGTAAAACCAGTTTGTTCTTGTGGAATTTCTCTTTGAAGGAATGTTTTCAGTCTCTCATTGATTATATGTAGCATTATCTTGCTGGCATGGGATATAAATGCGACAATTATAGATAGTTCTATAATTGTCGCATTTATGGAAGCTGCCTTTTTTATGTATGGTCGTTATTGTAGATTTTGTCCAGTCTTCAGGCCATTGTTTGGAATGCCATATTTGGTTACAGAGTAGATGAAGTAACTTTACGCCGGTTTCTTCTGTGGCTTTAAGCATTTCTGCTGTTATCATATCTGGACCTGGCGCTTTATTATATTTTGAGCTTGTTGATAGCCTGTCTTACTTCATTTTCGAGTATATCAGTTCTTCTTCCACCTCGTCAGAGATTTGGCTAACAAGCTCTTGCGTTGATCATCTTTATATAGTCCCTGCAATACGATCTCCATGTCTCTGCTATGTCTTCTCTGTTTGTTCTCAGGGTTCCAGTGTTATCTTCAATGGCCCAAGTTCTGGCTCTGAAGTCTCTTGTCAGGTAGCGTATTTTTCGAAATAGATCTCTCGGCTGATTATTCTGACCATGTCTCTCAATTCTTTGCATATACTTTGATAGTACTGTTTTTTTGTCGGTCTTACATCTTCGTTTTATTTCTTTATTGAGGTTTCTTAAACTAGCTTTTTCCCTTTCACTATGTACACCACTTTTACAAAGATTTCTTCTATTCTCCATTATTTTAAGAGTTTCATCTGTTATTCAGTGTTTCCGTTTCACAAGATTATTTTTCTTTGAGCGATCCACTGGTGTTGTTACGCAATGTTTAACAGTTTCCCATATTTCTTGTGATGTTCCGTTACGAATAGAGGGCATACTTTTCTGTACTTCCTGTAGAAGGTCGTCTTTCTTTCTTAGTTCTATCCTCTTTACCTCTCTTTGTTTGTTGGGTGCTTTAAGTTTCAGCATTACTTTAGCTACGAGGAGAGTATGATCGGATCCGATCGGATAGTTGTGGACTAAATTTGTCATAAATTGTGTTTTTGAAAAATTTATTTTAAGACCAACTCTTTTTGATAGTATGGAGTTCTTGGTGCATTATCTGTACCTGATCAAAGCTGCAATAAGAACGATATCATCGGCAAATTTAAGGTTATTTAAAAATTTTCCATCTACATTGATGCCCTTTTCGTTCCAATCT